CAACTTCCTATATTAGATATTGTTTTTCTAAAATTATGCGCTTTCCAACGATATATTATAAGTATACTTCTGACTTGTATTTCCAGAGATTTATTTTCGAACTGTATAAGCATTTATATATTTTTTTTCTCCTTTATTCAATTATCAGATTCTTTCAAAAGTTATATTTAGCATTTTTTCGCTAAATATTTTACAAAGCTGCTAATTATTTCACAATGGTATATTATTTGCAAACAATTATACATCTAAAGTAACATTACCTTCCAAGTTACAAAGAAAAATAAATAAAAGGTGATTCCAATTAATGGACTAAACTTTTCTTTATAATCATTAGTAATATGCTAAAAAAATTAGCATTACCTTATTAACACATTCAAAATTCAAAAACCTAAACAAAGGATATAACCATTGCAGCAGAGCGTATTAAAAAAAAACTAGAGACCATATCTTATCTCCTAATTCTCCGATTTTAACGATTTTTTTTTGTTTTTTAGGCTATTCCATAAACTTTTAGAAAACCATATACAACATTCCCAAAAAAGTGTATACTTTTTGAGTTATTCGGAATTTAATTTTACCATCCCTCGTAACTTTTTTTCCAGCTTCTTTTCGCTGAAGTATGTTATATAGATAAATTTGAAGGGTGTCGAGAAAATGACTTTAGCGAAGTTTCAATGAAATCGGTACATTCGTTTAGGCGCTACAGTCTATAGCTACGTTTTTCTGCATTTTTATTTTTTTTCTCCTTTATTAACTTATCAAATTCTTTCAAAAGTTATATTTAGCATTTTTTCGTAACTCTGAATAATGCGAAATAATTAACTTTTTAAAATAAACCATATTAAAGGTACTTTAGAGGAAGACGTATATGAACATATATTAAAGACCACTTAACCATACAATGATACACCGAGTTTAATCAAAATCGTTAGAGCCGTTTTAGAGAAAACTGTGAAAATGTGTTTAAGCGTTGATATAAAGTAGCACTTCCGGTTAGCCGATTTTAAGGAAAAAGTTGCCGTCACAACTAAGGCATATACCTATCTTAAATAAGTGATATCAGTTTCATAGGACTTTTCGTTTTTGAGCTAGACTGCTAACATACAAACACACAGACACACAGACCATTTTTCGGGACTTGGTCATTTCGACTCAGGGTACCTCAAAACGTATAAATCCGTCGAAAACTCTTCAAAAATTTTCTCGATCGCAATACCTACACACTTACTATATATTGCATATATACGTAAGTGAAAGTTAAAATATAAAATAAACAGAAGCAAAATAACAACTGAATAATGACCAAACAGTAATAATAATCAAAAAGTCATTTTATTTTGTAAATTAAATTGTAATCATAGGTTCGTAATTATTTTATCTTTATATAATTTCGTCTATATTATATGTTTAGTCAAATAATTTTTTTTTGTTTTTAGGGATTCGGAAAGATGTGTTATATTAGTTAAAGGTTTGTATCTCGGAAAAACTGGACAAAACATTCGTTTGATTATTATGGATTCTTGGGTTATCAATTTTATTAATTTTTTTTTTATTCTCTTCATTGCCTTTAGGCTACACGGAGTTTTCCCCGGGCCGAGGAAAGAGCGAGGGAATTTTGCCGAGTTATATCTAACATTTTATACCATGGAAATAACTAACAAGTATAGGTATAAATGTTTTTGGAGGATTTTCAAGATTTGCTCCTTCACATCCTTCAAATAATTCCTGTCGATTAATTTTATGTCTTTACCCGAAAATTTGGATAATTTTATAATAAATTATTTATTATTCAGACTAATAGGGTCTAAATTACAATCTATACGTTATAAGATTCATAAGGAATCTCCTGTACGTTCGATACGTTATAAGGAATCTGCTGTAACCAGATATGATTGAGGGTAAAAAATCTTTATTGACTCCATCGACCTTCGTTCCGCCAAGTTTCATAATTTGCACAGCACATAATACCCCTATAATCATAAACGAATCCAAACTCCATTTCAGATGCTTACCTTGAAGATGAACCTGGAAAACTAAGAGTCATTTGATATGGATACTACAACGATGAATTATGAAATATTCAAGAACATAAATATTAAAATGGCTTCTTAATGTTCAAGAATGGCCTCTTCATATTCAGTAATAGAATATCTCCATGAGCATTGAAATATTATGTACGATAGGACGCTGGATCTACAACCGTGACTCTCACCCTCTCTTTTGTCGTTCCTGCGAAGTATTAGACATGTTAAAATTAAATATAATTTCTTACATGACTTGCTCGAGAGGTATTTAAAAACTATGATGTTATGAATGGGTATTGACCTTCTTCGAGCCAGGGGTGCCCAAAAGGGACACTTTCATGTCATGTGTTCCACCATCATAATTTGTGAAGGGGACACATTTTTACGAAGTATGGAATTTTTAAAGAGGGCACATATCGACAGGGTTATACACTTCACGGAAGAAATGTGTCAAACCAAGGGACATGGGGAAAAAAAGGACAGACCATAGCAAGTGCAGTTGTAAATGATCTATTTTTTTTTTTTTTTTAAATTCTACTTTGTACTCCTTCACTAGCGGATCAAGGATTTAATTTAGGGGGAGGGACTTCAGCCTGATAGCTTTTTTTTCATACATATATTATTATTGTATATTTGACGCGAAACAGCCCTGAAGGACTACGCGACTGTGATACTGGTTTCTTTTTCAATTTCTTCCTTTCTGCCCTTCTCTGCTTGAGAATATCTCTAAATTTTGTCTTCCTCTCCTCCGTCCACTTCCTCCTGGACGGAAGTTTCTTACTGTCCACCACATGCACCGCACGTTTCAGGAATTTCTTGTATTCTGTCCTATCCCCACATAATTCCCGTGTTATCCCAAGCCTCTGTATTTCCTGTTTTATTTGTACCGTATATATAATCTATATATAATGGCCCACCGAACCGCTGCTTTCGATAAATCATTTATTATTCGATCCTCTTCCCTTTGGAACTCCATCCCTCCCCACATCCGTCAATCCAAAACCCTTCCTACCTTTAAATCCCAACTGTTTAATCATTTCTTATCCATCCAGTCCTCATCATAAAATTGTAAATAGTTACTACTGTAAATATGTATATAAATTATTAGATCGTTCTTTATTATTTTTACTTCATGTTTATTTTCAATTTTTTATTTTTATTATTAACTGATGTAAATTAGAAAGTAACTTATAATTTCTCTAAATATTTTTTATTTATTTTTATTTTTTTTTTTTACTATTTAATCAAACTAAACTCTTGTTTATGTATCTCTGAGGCTCCTTAGCCCACATTTTTGTTTCTCTGTATTATTCTAAAGGGACTCGTCCCAGAATAAATAAAGCATTATTATTATTATTATTATTTTATTTGTCAACACTTTTACAAAAGGTTTTTTTTTTGTTTACTTGAGAGGGGGAGAATCAACTCCAACCACCTCAGGTATGTTCAATTTTAATTTCTATTGAATGTTGAGAAAGCTTCTTACAATTCTGGCAGTATTCAGCAGCACCGCTTTCTGAGCTTATTTATTATTTATTATTTATTATTTATTATTATTATTATATCCATAGTTAAACTTGTATCCCATAACCCTACTGAAAATCTTCTTGTTTAACCTCTCCTCCCTCATTCTTTGTATGTGTCCATAAAACCTAAGTCTTCTTACCCTCATTTCCGTTTCCAAATCAAAGATTTCACTGTAAATCTCCTTATTGGATTTCAGTCTGTATCCTTCAGGTGTTATTTTGGGCCCATGTATTCTTCTGAGAATCCTTCTTTCTATTTTCAGCAGTTTATCCAAACTAGGAAAGAACATTGTTTCCGTTCCATACAGTATCACTGGCTTTGCCACTGTATTGTAGTGCCTGATTTAGGACTTTTTGGAGAGGCATTTTTTATTATAAATGCTACTAAGTAGCATAATTCCTCCAATTTTTGTATCCTATACTCCATGCTTTCTTTATCCGATAAATTTCTGCTGATTATTTCGCCCAGGTATTTAAAGCTTTTAACCACCTTGATTTTACTGAATTCTGTTTTTATTTCTGTCTTCCTAAAGTTGGGGTTTGTGGTCATAAATTTAGTCATCTGGAAGGAAATTTTAAGTCCTGTTTTCTCAGCTATTTTTTTCGAATTTATCTGTCTAATCGCCTCTTCCTCCGACTCAGCCAATAGGGCCAAACCATCTGAAAAGGCTTGACATTTTACCAGGACATTGCTCCTTTGATTTCTTACTTTAGCTCCTGATGTTTCTTTTACTCATAAGGTCCTCATAACTTTGTCGAGAACAAAGTCGAAGAGAATAGGTGACAGTCCCACCCCTTGTCTCATACCGATTTTTATCGGAAATGGTTTGCTTATATTTCCTCTTAATTTTATTTTTGACTTGGTTTCTGTTAGAGTTTCTTTTATTAGGTTTATGATATTTAGATCGACGCCGTATACCCTAAGAATTTTCAGTCAGGTTTGTCTGTCTATGGAGTCATATGCTTTTTCAAAGTCCACAAAAGAGATATAAAGGTTTTTTCGCGATCTGTTCAGATAATATTTTATGAGAAGTTTCAGACTAAGTATCTGTTTTTGGCAGGACCTTCCTGAATCCCTCTGATATTCTCCTATTTTGGGGTCAATTTTGGGCTCTATTCTGTTTGCTAGGGCCTTAGAAAAAAATTTGTAGGCAACTGGCAGTAGAGAGATCTCCCTGTAGTTGTCTACCTCGGTTTTCGCGCCTTTTTTGTGAAGAGGGTGGATTAGAGCGCTTTTCCGTTCTGTTAGTATTTTCTCTTGTTCCCAGATGTCCATAAGCAGTTCTGTGACTTTTCTCCTGAACACCTCACTGGCATTTTTCCACATTTCTGCTAGGACGCCATCCTCACCAGAAGCCTTGTTGTCTTTAGCCCCTCAATGATTGCCTCTATTTCTTCCTCGTCCGGTGGATCCTAGTCGATTTTCTCTTATCTCTGGTTTCTCAATAGGTTACTCACAATTCAGAAGTTTCTCGAAATAATTCGCCAGAATCACGCAGTTCTTCTCATCCGTCAGTGCCAGAGTACTATCTCTTCTCCTCAGCGCAAGTCCTCTGGGACGGAATCCCTTCATTCTTCCCTCAAAGGCTTTGTGAAAAAGTGTGGTGTTATTCTTCTTGAAGTTTTCTTCCATTTCCGCTAGTTGCAGACTGAGCAAGTTTCTCTTATTATTTTTTGTGCTGTTTGGTATTCCTCTCTTTTCTCTGGCGTTTTTTGTTGGTTCCATAGCTTCCATTTTTCCAGTCGCGTTTTAATGGCGTTTTCGCAGAACTACTAAGTTCCACCATGGACGTTTCTTGTGGATTTCATCAGGAGCGACTATTGCGGTTTCTGTCAGAAAATTTGTCACTTCATCCCAACTGCTCGGTTTTCCGAACTTCACACCGAATTCCTGTTTCTTAGCTGGCAAAAAATTCATTTCAATTTGGGATGAAAAGTGGTCCGATGTCACGTTAATTCCCCTTTTTCCTCTGGCGTTTTGAATTTCTATATAATTTCTCTTGGATATCGCCACATGGTCCAACTAGAATTCCCCAACATTATATATATATATATATATATATATATATATATATATATAATAGCTTACACAGATTTATACCACACATTTCAATTCACAATTACAGAGACATTCACAGTAATTACTACAAACTTACGCAAGTAGTTACGGAACATGGGAATACAAAACAATATCTTAAAAGATTCAACATTATACAAACAGACTTATGCGATGAAGACGGACTGGTTCAAAATTTTAAACATATAATATATAAATGTAAACGATTTGACAGACAGCGATTTCAGTTAATAAAAAGCCTAGTTATCAAAAGTGGAAATTGGCCTGAGACGGAACAAAAGTTATTTACTGAATTCAAGACAGACTTTCTTAGATTTATTAGATCTATCGATTTCAACTTACTTACCAGGGATGGGCAGCGTGGGTTATTTCTTGTTAGCTTTGTTGGATTGACTTTCTGTGTTTAATATTTAATATTCCGATTTAATTTTTGTTTTATTTTTGTGTGTTTATTCTTTGTATTTTTGTTTGTTAATTTATATAAATTTGAACTAAAAATGTATATCATGTAAAACTAGAAAAGAAACAATTGTAAACAAATGTAATTCATGTAGTATGTCTTTAAGGCATGGAGCATGAAGGAAAATCAAATAAACGATCCTTGTGTGGGGTTACCACATAGGGAAAAATAAATAAATATATATATATATATATATATATATATATATATATATATATATATATATATATATAATATTTATATATTACTTTGGAAAAAAAAGATAATAACTACTTATATGAAATATTATTAAGTGATTCTTGAAGGCATATTAAATGTAATTACACGAACAATAATATTTTAATTGGAAACTTAATGCTTGACCGTTGTATATTTTAGAGGAAGGAGATGATCTGAATTGGCGGTCATAAAGAGACAAAAAGATTGAAAAAACTATTTTATTTAAAGCCAACGTTTCGACCCGACTTAGCAGGTCTTCTTCAGGGTGTGCATGCATCATGGAGTTTCAGATTCAACTCCATGAAGATCCAACTCCCCGGAAAATATTATTTAAAAATATTTTTTACTATAAAACATGGTTATATTGTACCATTTTGGAAGGAGAAGAGGGCTTCAGCCTGAAAGCCCCTTCTTCCTTCCCCCGTAGATCCGCCTGTGCACTTCTAATAAGAAAAGGAAAGCAATAAAATATCTTGGGAGGAGGGAAGGAAGTTCATACACCATCGACCTTGGGGGAGGGGGGAGGAGGGTATTCACTGATGAACAAAATTCGTGGGTATCAAACCCGCGAATGGTGAGGGGTAACTGTATTTCCGAATCGACTTCTCCCATAGATTTTATTCTCATACGAAAAATTGTATACCTTGTAATATAGATATTTTGTAGCCAATGAAAACGGTGAGGAAGCTATACTGACTTTACTTGGAAGACGTTTTGTTTAATTCATTCATTTTAATTCATCCATTACCTTTTTTATTATTATTTTTTTTTTTATCTTGTTCTAAGAAGAAAACTGTGTACAATAAAAAATAATTTCCCTATCCAATGTTACTGAATGAAGAAAAAAAAATACCTGAAGCTCTATAACATACTGGATAAACTGTCACTTACATCCCTTCGTCACATTTACGTCACCCAACCACTTTCATCTCCTGAACAAAGAACGATGAAAGAATTGAACAAAGAATTCACTGGCCAGTATCAATATCACAAAGGTATGGATGAAAACAAATCTTTAGAACCTATTTGGGAACAATGATGTGAAACGTTTTTGCAGTAGGCAGGTTGAATGACTCCGTTCGCTGGTCGTGATTTTTCTTAGTTGGGACCAATAAAGGATCCAGGATTTAATTTTGGAGGGCTTGAGCCCGAAAGCTTTTATTATATATATACAAAATTTCTTCAATCGACCTTTGAGTATTATATTTTAACATAATTATTTAAATTGGGAATTAGGTCACTTATTTATTATTCAATAAACTACAAAATATTCATTAATCCTCCTGTTTATTCTACGTTTCGATCCCGGTTTTTTAAAGTTCACAATGAGATGCTCTTCAATGTTTTAAAATAGAGCCTCCATACCTCAGGCCAGAGATATAAGACAGCCTCAGCACTATCCACTATCACAGATATTAAGCTACTCTAGTATAGCATAGCTTAATATCTGTGCTAGACTCAATCCCAGAATATCGACAAAGTAAAAACTTTTTTTATTTGAAATTTTAAAATTATCATGTTAAACATTGGTTATTAGTCCTTATCTTGAGAAGATAGTGGAGGAAATAACATTCATATTGAATAGAAGATTACTTGAAACCAGACACAGTTGAAAAAGGTATAATAATCATGTAAACATTTTATATTTTCTCTAGCAAAAGACCCAATTTTGAAAGTTCATTTAGATTTTCTTTCCAGATGATCATTAGCTTAACTGAAAGTATATTCAATGTGGATCGTTTCCTTGATACGAAGGAGGAAATTTTATTTCTGTTATGTCTAATGCTTAAAAAAATGTTGGGTTAATACCTTTGGTCACTGAGTGTGAGAACTTGGACAGAAGATGCAGAGGATCGGGCTTAATGGATAAGAATGAACTTATGAGGAGACCAAGGCTCTTCATGAATCATTGAACTTATGAAAAATAAAATGTAACGATTTGTCCAGATTTTTCTCTACCCATCATCACTTCACAATTTTATATTTTACTGTCTATCACTGTCCACTCCCTAGCTAAGTTCATATCCTTAGCATATATATCATATCCTTAACACTTGATTTGATGACCTTGACCATGTCTTTGAAAGCTACCATGATATATATAAGCTTAAATATTCTACTAATATACTCTTCAAGAAAATTAAGCTCTTCAGATAGTCACTGCCTTAATCTTGCTTAAACCGAGCTGGTTTTGACAAAAGGGTGTGTAAGATGTCCTACAAAACAAGGTAACAGGCAAAAGTTAGAAAAGAAATTCCACATAACCAGAGACTTCTATCTACCCAACATTATCGAACATAATAATATCCAGTTTAAGCAATTATTATCATCAACAAACATTTCAATCCTCAAAAACATTTATCATTATCTTCACCGAATTCTTCGTATATATATATATATATATATATATATATATATATATATATATATATTTAGGATCCGAAAATGGTTCGGATTATTCTAAAGTTTTTCTAAAATCCAAAAAAAGACATTTGTTGAAATGTTTATAACAGGTGAAATAGAAAATGAATATGAGCAGAAACTAATGTATTTTTCTAAAAATTAATAAAATTTTTGACTATAAAATATATATATCATATTCTTCTTTCATATTGACAGATGAATATAAATATGATTATATATATATATATATATATATATATATATATATATATATATATATATATATATATATATATATATATATATATATATATTATTAGGCCAACTTTCTTTGCTTTTATAAACCTCAAAATGACTAACTCCAATTTCAACATTTTTGAGTGATGTCATTTTAGTGATATTTTTAGTTGAAAAGTTATCTATGCAGAATATGAGTAAGTTGATTCCGGAGGTGGTGATTGCAGTGTTGAAATATAGAACAGCGAATAAAGGTATAAATAAGGAAAGATACTTTATTAAATATCTGTAGAAAAAAGGTTTTTTTAGTCTCAACAATTAAAAAAGTATATTTTAAATTTATACTAATTTTCGCCTCTTCAGGGAAAAAAAGTAGAGACCATATCGTTCCTCCTTATTGTCCGATCTTAACGATTTTTTTTTGTTTTCTTAGGAAATTTCATAAACTTTTAAAAAACTTATCAATTTTTTTCAAAAGTTATATTTAGCATTTTTTTGTAACTTTGAATAACCTGAAATGATTAAATTTTTAAAATAAGCCATATTAAAGGTACTTTAGAGGAAGACTTATATGAACATTGGGCATTTAAGCCCTGTAAAGTGACATCAATGGGGATAAGACCTAAATGATATTAAAGACCACTTAATTATACAATGATACATTGAGTTTATTCAAAATTGTTACAGCAGTTTTTAAGAAAATGTTTTTCAGCGTTGATATAAAGTGGCACTTCCGGTTAGCCGATTTTAAGGGAAAAGTTGCCATCACATCTAAGGCATATACCTATCTTAAATACATAATATCAGTTTCGTAGGACTTTTTGTTTTTGAGCTAGACTGCTAACATACAAACACACAGACACACAGACCATTTTTCGGGACTTGGTCATTTAGACTCAGGGTACCTCAAAACGTGTATTTCCGTTGAAAACTCAGATTCAAAAATTTTAATAATTCAAAAATACTTTGTAATTAGTTGGCAGCTATAGTTATTTTGTATATGAGGTAAACCCTATTTGTATGGGGACTTTCCCCGAAAACAGATAAATAATATCAGAGTGACTTGGAACCAGTATTTAAACATATGTCAGAGAAAGAAAAATGGAATTAACCAAAGAAAACTATCATATCACAGAAAATGTAGATTTCATAGTTATGGTTAATAATAAAACAGTTGAAAATTTCAGTTATGTATTATTGACTACTCACTTAACACTTCTTATAGCAAGCAAGCACGGCTAAGCATCACATCTTTGTGGAATTTTTACATATACCTATCCACTGACTTACTGGGAATGTCAAGGTTTATTTTTGTATCCATAATGAAATCCATTGATCC